AAAAATACTTAATGTAAAGATTAAATTAGATAAAAGAAGTCATTCTTCCTACAAACTGTGGAGGGGTGCACAAATGTGAATTTATATCATCCAGCAGTGTCCTCTGCAAACAAGGACTTAGACATGGTTAGATCTATTATCGTGTGTTTACTTTTCTCAGCATCTACCCAAAAGAAAAAAAAAAAGCGATGAGAGCTCTATAAAATAGTGTTGAATGATGGCTCCCCGTAACTTCCAAAGGAGCAGTTGCTGTAGGAATGCAAGACAGCACATTACTAAGTCAGACACACAATTATTCAGAAAGATTGACTTTGAAAACTGTTCACATAAATCAAAGTGTGCTCTTCACCAATGTGCTCAGATTGAAAAGAACGGGGGGAGTCCAGCCAGTGACTTCGGGGTACTGTCCATGCTGGCCATCTGTGAGGAGAGCTCTGTGGCCAAGCAGTTGGCACACGGTCATAGCCACTGGCTCTGAGTGACATTTCGTAGAGCGGATGGCACTGCCTCTCATCCCACCAACTCCAGGAGGCACCATTCCCATTTCCCAGGACAGAATGGTGGAACCCACAGATACAGAAGCCCGCTGACTGGGAGCTGAGGTCGGAGCCCAGGCGGTCTTCCGCCCACAGGGACTCTGCCTGTCCCTGCCATCTTGCCTGGTGGGGACAGGACAGTGATAGCCAGGTGGTGGCCGGAGGATCTGCAATTACTGAATCCCATTTCTCGGAGTGCTATGCATGAATATTTATGTCCCTCCAAGTTGCTGTTGAAATCTTATCCCCAAGGACAGAGGGTCCTTGGTGGGAGTGGAGGAAGAGCAGTTAGGTCCTGAGGCCATCACCCTTGTGATGGGTCTCCTGCCCTTCGAAAGGAGACCCCAGAGAGCTGCCTCACCCCTTCTATGGGGACAGCAGAATTCAACCGTACTAGCGTCTGGATCTCGGACTCCCAGCTCCCAGCTCCCAGGCTGTGGGAAATAAATTCCTGTGGTTTGTAAACCTCGCGGTTTATGGTGTTTTTCTTATACCAGCTCACACAGGCGAGGACACAGGCCTGTGCTGCTTGCTGGTCAGCATCCCTGGGGTATCCACGAAGTGCTGTTTTCCATGGAGCACCCCCATTATTTTGAGCCAGGGTTAGCAGTGCCATCCTCCTCCCCCACAACAGTCCTGGAGTCTGGCTCGTGTGGTGTCCAGCGTGCTGAGTGCCACGTCCTCCACTGCCTCCTGGTTTTCAGTGCGCTGAAGGAGGCTGGTGCCTTCGGGGGTCAGTGGAGAGCATCTTAGTGTATGAGAAGGAAGAACTGGGTTTCATCCCTAAGTAAGTCTGGGCGCTGGGGTTGGAGACCTGTGGTCGCCGCCTTGTCTTAAATGTCCTGCTGCCAGAAGCCAGAGAGACACACGGTACACAGGCCGCAGGCCGTCTGCGGATTGCCCAGACTCGGAGCTTCTGCTGCCTTCCCTCCCTCCCGGCATGGAGCTGTGCGAACGCTCGGCGTGGAAGCGGGGGCAAGGCTGAGGTCCTGTCTGTACCCACCGTGCGGAGGACGGTCAGGAGGCAGGGGACTGAGCTCAGGCATGTGGGCTGGGGCTGGGCGTGAGAGGGGTCTGGGAAGGGTGGCAGTGGCCTGGCAAGAGGCAGGCAGAGAGACTCTTCAGGCCTGTTTTTGGAGCTGGCCTGGCAGAGGGAGAGGAGGGGAGTTTACCTGTAAGCAGGTGAGGTCCTGCTCAAGAGGAGGTCCCCCCGGGCTCGGTACTGCCAGGTACCCTCTAAATGGTGACGGCTGGCTAGGAGCCCCACTTACAGGAGACTGAGGCCTCAAGTCGTGGTCCCTTAACGGTACTCACAGGCAGGGAGTGTGGGGTCCGGGTCCCCTGGGGGAGCCTGCGTGAGCCGGGCTGCTGTGGGAGCGAGGACGGAGGCTCAGGGCTGGGTGCGCAAGGGAGATGTGAGGGGACGCACACGTGGTACATGAGACAGTCACAGCCGCAGAAGCAAAGGCTTGTGAGTGTGCAGAGAAGACCTGTCCTCTTGTCACTCTCGTCCCACCGCCCATCAGCCTCTCTGGCCCTGTTTCTTCCCTCCGCAAGGCTGTCCTCACTTCTCAGTGCATGTGCATCCTTACTGTACTGTGTGACCCAAGCCCTCCGCCTCCACTTTGTGTTCCAGGAGCGTGAGGACTGTGTTCTGTCCCACCGTCCCTATCAGGCCAGTGTGATGCGTGGGGCAGGAAGGGCTCCATAGACGTTTGTCGAGTGAATGAACGAACAAATGAACGAATGGATGAATGAAAGCAAACTTGGAAGAAGCTTGTGCACTGCAGTAGGGAACTCTCCCTTGGTCCTTTCTACCGTGCAGTTGGAGGAGGGTGAGCTGATCGTATCTGTGGTCAGAAAGCCATACGTGGAAGAGGGCAGAAGGTGTGTGTGTATGTGTGTGTGTACATATACCTGTGCCAGTGTGGGACAGTGTGTAGCATACCGTGTGTGCCGGGAGGTGGGGATTGGGAGACCCTGTCACAGGGCCATGTGTGGTCCCAGGCTGGGTTGGGAAGGAGGAGACCGTTTGGGTAGCGGGGTCTCCTGCCTGGCTTAGCGGGCTCCCTTCAGGCACTTCTGAGGGCCGCCTCCCTCCGGGGTGTCGTGGTCCCGTCAGCCGGTGGCTGACTGTTGCTTGTTGATTACAGTGTGAAGCGCCGTGCCTTGGTCCCACGCTGCCGCCCAGCCCAGGAATCCGGTGACACTCTAATGAGGTTTCCTTTGAATGCTGGAAAGAAGAAAGCCTTTTAATTAGATTGGTGGTAATTGAGTTCCCAAACCACAGAAGTCTTTCTCTCAGGAGAGGAAGAGACAAATGCAATTAAAAGAAGAAAAGACACCTAAATGGAACCCTCGCTAATTCTAAGTCCATTAAAAACAACAGCTGGCTAATAAGTTGCGGGAACAGGTGGGCGTCCTGAGGCGTTCACCAGCAGTGCCCGGTAATACTGGACGCTGAGCTGAAATCAGAGCATGTGTGCGTATTAAAGGTGCGGCCCCGTCCGGGGTCATCTACTCAGTATGGTGCACAGAGAGACGTGAGCTCCACAGCTTTTACCACTAAAAAAACCTTGACATGTTTTGTTTTGGAAAAGGAGATGTATTTCTTCCTGTAACCAGCTGACAGCTTCTTCCAGACACAGCCCCTGGCCTGGGAGCTCCTGGGAAATCATCCTGTCTTTCCCCAGGCAATCCCGTCCTTTCTACAAGGCTTTCCCCACCCAGAAATACCCAGAAATACCTTTCAGAAATACCTTTCAGAAATACCCAGCAGGTGGGCAGTTGGGCCCTGGCATCAAAGCAGCAAAGCGTCTCTGCCAACACCCTACACTGTCACCGCATTTCTGTTTTAGTGGGGGGCAGTGTGGCATTCGAGTCTCACTTGCATCCCTGCCTGCTGGCCACGCCCTGGCAGATGCCGCGGACCTCCAGCTATTGGATCTGGTTTTGGTGACTACCCATCAGCGAAGCAGGCCAAGCAGTTCCTGTTGCAGGAACTCCAGGTCTCTGCCGGTGGGCAGGCCCTCCTGGGGTGGGTAAGAAATAATTTCCAGGGAAAGGGTGTCAGTGACAAATGTATGGCTTCTCGGTTGGAACTGAGAGTCCAGTGATTTAATAACAGCATCGCTGACGAACTCTGCTCAGCTGTCTCCTTGCAGATTGTGGACCATTCCGGGCTTGGCCAGCTGTGATGAAGTGCCAGTCACAGCGCAGGCAGAAAGGCCAAGTTTGACTAGACGGTTCTTGTGATGGTCTGTTAGCTTTCCGTGACTACACCAAATGTCTGCAAAAATGAAGTTATAGAAGTTAAAGCAGTTATGGAACTGTTTTAACCCACAGTTCAGAATTACTTTGGCCTATGATGAGATCACACATTATGACAGGAGAGGAAAGCTGCTCAGCTCGTGAATGGGAAGCAAAAAAACAGGAAGAAGAAGGGCTGAGGTCCCCAGATACACTTCCAGGTCACTTCAGTGATCTAAAGACTGCCGCTGGGCTCCACTGTTTGAAACTTGCACCATTTCCCAGTGGGGTCAAGCTGGGGGCCAAGCCTCCCATACAGGGGTGCTTGAGGGACACCGAAGATCCAAACAGACGCCCTGTGCAGGAACAGAGCCACTGTGGGCAACACGCTCCAGCTCCCTGGGTGGCGTACACCTGACAGCCGACAGGGTCCCACACTCAATGGTTTGGAAATACGGAAAAATAAGTTGTGGAGTCTGAAAGACCCCAGTGTGCGTGGCTGCCTTGTGAAGGCACCTGAGCATTCTTACCTAGTTCACCTGGATAGGGTTTACCCTGCAGGCAGGTGGCAAGGGTCAGGCGTGTCACCTGGCAAAGAGAGGATGAGAGAAAAGACAGCCCGGACCCCCAGGCACAAAACAAGCATGCCCTGCTCAGGGGCACTCTCCTTGCGCAGGGAAGCAGACGGCACGGGGCCTGGCGTCCTTTCTGGGTGGAGGGAAGCATATAATATTTATGTTTATTCAGAAAGTGTATAAATTCTAGTAGTACACCTGACTTTAAAAAATTGGAATTTGCACCCAATTTTTAAAGTATATAAATTACAAAATAAAAGATAAATAGCGAAGTCCTTAGCAAGCAGCATTTCTGGATGGTAGGACTGCCTGATTTTAATTTTCTTCTTTATACTTCGCTGTCCTTTGTAAGTGCTCTATAATAAATGTGTATTACTTTGGAATAAATAGAAAAGCTTAGCTCTGGGGAAATGCTGCCGGCTTACATTTGCAGATGCGTGGTGCATTCTAATTTCCACACACAACAGTGATCCCAACAGTCAGATCCCTGCATGAATAATTGTATCATTCTTCCCTTTGTAAAGCATCTGAGCCATATTTATGCTGTTTTTTTCCTTTTTTTTTTTAAAGGATGAGAAGAACCAAGTTCTAACCACCAACATTTGGCTACAAATGGTGAGTGAAGGCAGTGCAGTCTTCGCCTGTGTGCCTGCCTGCTCTTGCTGCTGAGGTGCATGCGATCGATTTGTAGGGAAAGCAGAGTTCCCATGGCAAAGGGCAGGCTGTCACCCCTGCCCCGTATGTGCCCACAGTATGCTGGAAGGATTGCGCTGTGGACTCAGTTGCTAATTTACAGCGTCCTGTGGGTTGCAATTGAATATTCAACACTGAATGGCAGCAGGACTTTATGCATGCCTGTATCCTAGTACTGAGTTATGGGGGGGACATTTCAAAGCCACTTCATGCATGAAAATAAGTTGCAGAACCGCAGTTCGGTGTCCACGCTCTGCTTTGTAGCTGCTCCCCAGTGCTTGGCAGCACTGGCCCTGCCCGCTGCGCCCTCCCGAGCTGCGTGTTTGAATCGCACCCAGGGCTCCTCAGCCAAAAGTCTGCTGCACACTTCCACTCTAGTGGCGCCTGCCAGAATCTAGAAAGGTTTCATAGTGTGGGCATTCCTAATCCGAAACTCCGTGGCCTGAGAAACTCTGAACTCCAAAACTTTTTGCTGATTGACTTGAAATTCAAAAAGCATCAGATTTTGGAGCATTTCAGACTTTTGAATTTTCAGAGTTTTGGATTAGAGATGCTCAATGAGCAAGACTCAATGCAAACCTTTAAAATTCTGAAAAAAAGCTATGATACCTGAAGCACGTCGGGTCCCAAGCATTTTGGATAAGGGCTACCCAACCTGTATTCTATACCTGGGGTTTTACCTTGACATCTGTGACTGAACCTAAATTTAATTAATTGCAGATGACGTCACTTCCATCAAATTGTAAACGCTGTGATTTAATTATCAAGTTGTTGATCTCTTTTATGTAGACTTTAAATACCACAGTGATTCTATGCCTATATCATTTGCTTAAAAACCATATAAACATATCCTGCTTTAACTATCGGCTAGTTTACATAGTTCTTTTTTCTCTTTGCACCTGCATTTCTATCCTACTTTTCAGGTAGGATTTTGTCCTAATGCAAAATGATTTTATATTCAAAAGTCTTTTATTGATCATACCACCTGGGTTTTCTCACATGTAAATGTTTACAAGAATATTCCCTTGAAACCATGAAAATTTTTCTTCTGGGTGGATTTAAGATTACTATATAATTCAGCAAGGTGACACAGATTGCAAATTATAACACGTAATTATTAAAGTTTTTAAATGGGAAATTCATGTCTCTGCCAAAGATGGGGCTTTGTTGTGAATTAATTCATGCATCTATAGGTGGCTCTTTTTACTTCTAGAACAATGTAGTTGTCACTATCTATTGTATAATTCTTCTATTAATAGATGCAGGAACGTGTGGGTTATGAAAAGAATTTTGTGAAAGTGATTTTATTCACTTCTTTGAACTTCTTCCAGAGTGGATGCCAGCAAGGGTGTTTTCACCAAACACAGCTGACAACTCCACTAGTTTCAGCTTCATTTTTTTTGAAAGCAAAAATTAAAAGAATTAAAACCCATCTGACTTTGGAAAGTATCTGTCACCCCACTTCTAGCGGAGTCCCCGCACACCGCTAAGGTGGCTAGACCTTCTGTTTGGTTCTGGTCAGTGTCCAAAATGAGAGTCTCCAGGGGAAATGTGCCCTGCTCTGCAAAGCGAAGGACAGAGGAGAGTGAGGGCGCGGGGTGTTCCCAGGCTGCCCTGGGCAGGCAGCTCTTCCTGGGAGTCCACAGTTGAGAGATGGGACAGAACGGATCCATTTAAAGCCATCTGCCGAGTGCCCCAGGCTTCGCTTAGCTGCACAGGAGGCCCCTTGCAGGACCCCTGGAGTGAATGAGGCGGGCCCTGGGGTGTTCTCCCTGCAGAACCCAGGCACTGCGCTCCACTGACACCCGGTACCTCTTCCCATGCGCTTCCGTCCCCAGCCCCGGGTGCCGGGCTGTGCTGCTCTGCAGGCCAGCCCTTCCCCAAGGGGTGCATGGGCAGGTCCTGTCTCCTGCAGCCTGCGGAGGGCCTCACCTTGACCGTCGCTTCCCTGCCTCTGGCTCTGTCACCCTGTCCTTGGGTCATGCTCGTTCTGGCCTCTTCCGGTCCTTTTCACCTGGGTAAATGCAGGCATGTTTATCCCTTGGCTCACACCAGAGACCTCACGGTCGCTCTTCACTCTTGCCTTTCACGTTACATCTGATCTGTCAACAGATTCTGGTGGCTCAGTCATCAGAACAGATCCAGGATCTATGCACATAAACCCATTGCTTCTGCCCTGGCCTACTTTGGCATCATAGCTAACATTACAGAGTTTCCCACAATCCTCCTGCTTAGCCCCGGCCTCCCCTGATGGGTTATATTACGACACAGCAGCCAGAGTGACCCTTTCAGTTAAATGAAGTTTCTGTCACAGGCCCCCGGCTCAGATCCTCCAGGGCCTCCTGTCTCCCTGGGCAACGCAGGAACTTTAAATCACCTTCACTTCCCTCCTTGCCTGGACCCTCTTTTCTCTCCCATCCTCTCTGCCCTCTTCCTTGCCTTGCTCTCTGTCCTCTTGATGTTACCAATGCACACGTCACCTGAGCACATTCCTACCTCAGGGCCTTTGCACTTGCTCTTCCTCCTGCATGGAAAACTCTTTTCCAAGAACCACTTAATTTTCTCCCTTCCTTCTATGGGTCAGTTCTAAACAGCGCCTTTTTTAGTTACTTCTTCCTTGAGCTCCTATGTGCTGTCCCAAACCATCCACTGCTACCTCCAGGCACCTGCTACACCCTCCATTCATTCTGTCCCCATCCCACTGTAAACTGAAGCCAGAGCCTTGAGCATGCTAAGCAAGTTCTCTTATCTCTCAGCTACACCTCCACTTCCCACTCTTTTCTTTGCTTGGCTTCATTTTTCCACCAGAGTCCTTATCACCCTCGACTCTTCGTTCTCACTTGCATGCTTTTTTTGGCCCCCACGTCTCTGCCCCGCTAGCACAGGTGCACCCAGAGGGCAGAGCTCGGCTGGATTAGCCCATTGCCATCCCCCAGCTCCTAGCCCACTGCTTCATCCATAGCCCATGATGAATAATTTTTCAGCGAGTGAATGAAACCACAGTGCTGCATGAACCCAGGAGAGGCTCAGAGATGACGCACAGTGAAGCTCGCTCTCCTATCCTTGGACGCTTTAGTAGAAGATAAAGCTCTGGGAGGTCTGCGGGGATGCAGAGGTTTTACCCCTGCCCCTAAGGACCGAGCCGCTGTGGACGTCTTTCCGACAGAGACACACGTGTGCACAGTCTGACGTCTCTCCCTGGTGCCCGCCTTGTCGCCCTCAGAAGCCGTGGTCTTGAGCCCTGCATGCAGTGGTGGGTGTTGGCTCCCAGGGACAGCATCACTGAGCTACAGCTCATGTACTGAGTACACTCGCTGCCTTTTGGAGACCGTCATCAGAGACCTCTAAATTTCTTTGAAGAGAACTTTATTTCTAGCTGTGACTTACATTTGCAGAAACACCTGCAGCTTCACTTAAAAAAAATATTTTCTCCTATCTATTGAGCTCACCTTTGGGATCACCTGCTGTATGGAAGGCACTGAATAAGGCCGTGTGGGCATCCAGAAATGGAGGAGACCCATTTCCCACTTCTCAGCCATTTAAACTCAGGCTGTGTAGTTAATACATTTAAAGAAACATTACCCACTAAAAAATGATGAGTGTTTGAGGAGATGGGAATGCTAATTACCCTAATTTGATCACTACATATTGTACACATGTATTGAATTGTCACACTCTACCCCATAAATATGTACAGGTACGTGCCAGTGAAACTTAAGTCAGAAAAGAAAGTAAAAGGTTAGCAAAGCAAGGCCAACTGGCTCCCTAGAGACACTGCAGGGACTGCTGATAGGCCATTGGGAACAGTATTGCTTTGCAGAAATCAGACAAGGAAAGGCCCAGACTCTTCTAAATGGTCAGGTCTGGAGCATCATTAATTGATGCTTATTTTCAGATGTTTCTGTATGAAAAAAAAGCCAGCTCACTGCCAGCACATGCTTCTGGGAAGCTGGGTAGTAACACAGATCTGGAAAGTGATATAGGAGGTGACCCTGCCTCCCAATGGAATTGTTAAGGAGTCCAAAGAATCTTTAGTTTAAAACAAAATTAACAGTTAGGAAACCAATACTGCACCTCCATGCTCCCGGGCCCAGCTCAGTATTTCAGTCAGGAGGACCTGCTGCCCTGACCTGGCCACTGCAGGGACATAGGAGGGTTGAGTGTCACGCAGGGCAGGCTTGCAGGCTTCCCTGGGTCGTTTCTAGACAACCATCTATTGATTCTTGTTCTTGTGTCCCCTGATTGGTGCCCAGCCTGGCCTGACCCACCCTGAGAGCTGGCCACATACAAGCAGTGAAGTCAGTCCCGAAGGCAAACAGGGCCAGAGTTGCCAGGGCAAGTGGGTGGGTAGAGGGTCCGGGAAATGGTTCTCAGCCATGGGGGTGTCTCTCTCACTGTTCCATGTTGCTCAATTCCTGTTCTGAAAGGTCGGAATCCACCTTGTCTTTTCTCCAGGGTATTTAAATGCGGGTTGATCTTGCAAATGATATATTTTTTATATCGCATCAAAGTGGAAGAGGCAGAAAAGCTAAAGAAAAAATGAAATTAAATTCTCTTTGACCTGCAGTTTGTTGATTTTGTTATCCTTTCTCCCAGTTGTCCTTAATTTTGTATGACTTCCAGATTATTCAGGTAACCTGCAGGAATACAAAGTTGCTGATCTCTCTATTTACCTCTTCCTATTCCTAGGAGGAAACATTTGGTGTATTTTCTCTGTAGATGTTTTATCATTTCGGGAGGCCTGTCAGACATAATCTGATTTAATGTATGAGAAGAAATGACAGAAACCATTTCGGTTTCTGAAGAGACGTCTGAGCCATTCAGAGGCATGCATTCACTTTTTGAAATATGTCTTTTCTTATTTTGGATTCTTGACCACTTTTCTGCCTTTAGATTTTCCTTTGTTCACTATTTTTAAGCTCTTAATTCCAATTATGGTATTAATAGCATTCACTTCATAGTATGTTGGATTGTAGACCATCATTATTTCTAAAATGTTTACATTTTCAATTTCTGCTCGTGTTACCTCTGACGCATAGAAATACCTCACACCGTGCTCATAGATTAGCCATCCTCACAGATTGCCGTGACTGCACCCAAAGGTTGAGGGGTGTCCCAGCCATTGGGTTTCACTATCAAAACAGCTTCAGAGACAAGGGATGGAAGGAAGCTCGTGTAAAGTAGCTGATTGGGGAATTTTTGAAATACATGTTTGGCCAGTGTTTGCCACCACGCAGCAATCAGTTCTGACATTGTTGACCTTAAGTTAGCCTCTGCACCCCCAGCTCAAAGGCACACTCCCGCAAGACTGCCCCGCCTCAGACCCCCGCTGTAAATGGAGCGTCCAGGCCTCGCATGCCTCCCCGTGGCTGACTGTAATTACGGAGTTCCTTACAACCTAAACCCCACTCCCCCACCTCAGGTTTCATAATCTTCTAGGACAGCGCATGTTGCTCAACCAAACACTTCGCTTGTGTTTACTGGTTTAGTCTAAAGGGTAAAACTGTGGAGCAGGCTGCTGGAAGAGACACAGGACAGAGCAGTGTTGGAGGGGGGGTAGCGGGAGGGGACAGAGCCGTGTTGATGCTTCCTGGGGTGTGGCACCTTGCTGTGGAAGAGGTGTTACAAGCTGATCTCCGGTCCCCCCATCCTCCGACCTGAGATGGGGAGGAGATGGAATTGAAGGTTCCACCGCTCATCACACACTGTTCTTTCAGAGGCCTGGCCCCAGTCACAACCTGCCGTGAGGCCCAGCACTAAACTCAGGTGTGGTGGAGAGGAAAGGACTTCTTTAACAAAAGATGCCGGTTTTAGGAGCTCTGTGCTAGGCAAACCAAATACATGTCTTATGCTATTATGTATTTTCTTAGAAGAAAACTCTCCCTCTTTCTCTGTCTCTGCATCTCCATGCTAGGGCACAGGCTCATACACAGTTTAACCAGAGTCTCTGTGAGGGAGGCGGGAGAATCCAGACTCCGCGCGTGTCAGATCGGCAGCCCTCCCCTCCCTGTGCACGCCCCTTCCAGCCTCATGCCCTCTTCCCTTGATTTGCTGAGAGGGAAGCCCACAGACAGAGGGAGGGAGTGAGAACCGTGGGCTGTTCTACCCGGGAGGACGGGCGCAGTGGCGTCTCCCGGCCCCTGACGCTGCCTTGCCGCACCGCATATGGAGACCTTGTTGGGTGCTGTTCACAGTTTTCCCTGTGCCTCTGTCCCCAAGGACCCAAGTACTGTAAGAAGACAGACAGGCTTTTCCTGCAACCTTATTCCACATCCCTTCTTAGGAAACCCTGGGCGTGCAGCCTGGGATCATGCCCCACCATTGGCTGCAGCTCCGTTATCAATGCATCTTTCGTGTATTGTGGGATTTTATACAGTGGAAAGATCTCTCTCCTGGAAAGCCATCACTTACCACTTGCCTGTGAGAGGCACGTGGTTTCACCTGCTGCTGTACACCCAATCTCACTTCGTCCTTCAGGCGCCGTCCTGCGAGTCTAAACACACAGAAGGAAGTTGTAGTCCAGAGAGGGCTATGTGCGCAGCAAGCCTTTCTCTGAGCCCTGGTGCAGGCTCAGGTCTGATTCCAAAGCTCTTTGTGGCTGGTCCTCGGCCCTGTGGCTAGTGTGGCTTTGGACACGAGGAGAGCGTGAGCAGATGGGCAGCGCCGTCAGGGACAGTGTGCGCGCCATGCTGTCATGTTGCAGGTGTGCCAGTGCAGAGTCGGCCTTGGAAGAACCAGCCTGGGGCAGTGCAAAGGCTGCTTTCCCTGGGGTCAGTCAGACGGTGCAGTCAGGTTCTGAGCCAGTGATTGACTGAGGCTCAGTCTGCACTTGTAAGCAGGCAGAGTAGTACCTGACAGCTCTGGGTGGTGGTGAGCTGGCGCACACACCGCACCGCCCTGGGGAAACGGCAGTGATGCCGCCTGTCAGGCCTCGGCCTGCCGTGTGTGCACACACGGGGCGGGGAGCGTGGGGGTGCTGGGAGGCCGCTGACAGTGTCTACAGATGGGTCTGAGTTTTACCAGCCAGGCGTTCCATTCCTGCCCACTCTCTTCTGGCCATTGTCTCAACAGATGGAGGAGACAGGTGCTTGCTTCTTACTAGAGCCCACTCGCCTTCACAGGCCAGCCCTGCGCTCGGATGGGTGTAGTAACGGGTACCGTGACTGGTTGTGTGGTCATCTGTGGCCAGTCCAGAGAAGCACCATGTTGTGGTTTGGGGTTTTTCTGCAAGGTGAACACTATAATACGGGACACATATTTTATAAGATTATTTGTAATAGTCACCAGTGAATCATATACAAGAGAGTGCAGGAAATCCGTCCACACACTAACAACCAAAGAATCTAGCTAAGGGCCTGGATCCCACAATAATGTCCTGCCTGAGTCCAGCTGAGGACCTAGAGCCCATAACAATGCCTCTCACAAGTCCAACTGGAGGCCCAGAGCCCAGGACAATGTCTCATGCAGGCCTGTTTCATGGATCTGCACTGGGAAGGCCCAAAGGTCAGTGGGGTAATCTAAGAAGTCTGTGCCAGCAGGATGAAAGGTCTGTGGTAGCAGGCTGAGGGATCTACACTGGAGCCAGGAAACGATGCTCAAAATAAGAACCAGAGCTCCTCTGAAAAGTACCACGGCCATCCTCAGCCACAGCGAGGTCCTAAGATCCTCCAGTGATGACAGCTGAGTTCCCGTCAGGGAAGTGAATGCCACAAGCTTCTCTACGAGACTGAGCAGTGCAACACCTTCCACTCCAGAGCCAGGAAGCAATGCTCAAAGGGAGGACCAGAGCTCCCCCAAAGTGAACCAAAGCCATTCTCAGCAACAACAAGGTCTTGAGCTCCTTGGAGGTTGAAAACAGCCAAGTTCATTAGGAAAGCCAGCATCATGAGCTCCTCCAAGGGAATCAACAGCTCCTTAGCTTCTACCGGCTTCCAACAGGCTCCCAACAGCTTCTACCAGCTCCCAACAGCCTTCTTCTCCCGTTCTTCCTCTCATGCTGCTGGCACCAATCGTCAGGTGGGCCTCCCACACCCAGCACTGTGCTGGTTAAGTTCAGCTGGGTGTTAGGAGTGACACCAGCAGTGAATCCCCCCCACACCCCAGGGTGAGATACAAGGTGGTGGTAAGGAAAGCACAGGAGTTGGAACGGAAGAGTTTTGTGCCCAGAGCAAGGAATGAATGAGGGCAGCAGACGTCGGCTGGCTGGCAGCAGGTGCTTCTGGAAAGCAGCCTGAACAAGACCAGCCCTTCTCAGCGTTCCCCTCCCCGCCTCTGTCCACCACCCCAGCTCATTAGACCCCAGAGGGCAAAGGGCAGGTCTCAGATGCCACAGGTGATGCTTGGGAATGATCTCCATCAGTGTATCCTCATTCTCCTAGGTTCCTGCTGTAAAAGGATGTCACACACTGGAAGGTTCAAGAGCTCATACAACCTTTTTTAGAGAGAGGAACTGGGGTTTTGCAATGAACTATGTCCTCCCCTTTTAAAAAATGTTTATCTTGAGATAGGGTCTTGTTCTGTTGCCAGGTTACTGAGGGTGGGCTCAAACTTGGCATCCTCCTACCTCAGCCACCCAGAGTTCTGGGATTACAGGCATGTGCTACCATGCCCCGCTCTCCATAACCTTTCTAGAAGCTATCGCCCCTCGCCAGAGTATGGTCCATCTCTGGAACATGGCCTTGGACCTCTTCCTTGTTTCTGGAATCAATAGCTCTAGACCCATAGCACCTCATACTCAATTCCTGAATCTCAACAGCTCTGGAAATTTGTTCCCTGCCTCCACCTTGCGGTTTTTTAACATTGACTCAAATTCATTTGGTCTGAAACCAAATCAAAATTGACGTGCAGTTGAAAGTTTTGTCTCTTGGTGTAAATATATATGTATATGTTGATGCAGAGATAGCAATGTGTTAGTTATGGGGGAGCCCCCTGATCCCAGCTGTAGGGGTTGCAGCATGTGTCTGTCTAAATCTTTAAGTCTCAGTTCTAGAACGTGGGAGGTGTCAGCAGGGGGACTGGATACAAAACGGGGTCTCACTATGGTACCTTTGTGGGAGCTGCTGTGTCCAAACCTCCCAGCCCTGCGACTCCAACAGTGTGTGGTGCTGGTTTTGTGACAGCTGAAGGTGGGTCCCCACCTGAGCAGACGTGGCAGAAGTCAGTCCCTGGAATGGCTGGTGAATGCCCGGTCCTGGTAGGGAGGACTCCAGGTTTGTGCTTTCCTCTGGAAAAGATCACTCAAGAATCGAAACTAGGGCTTGGCCTCGAGCTTGTGTGTCTGTAGATGCTTCTTACTTCTAGCCCTGCCTCAGGGTCCCGCTGCCGAGGCCTGACATCGGCGTTGTCAAGGTGTGGTGTCAGAAGCGCCGTCCCTTCAACAAAACCAGATTCACATTTTGAAATGTGCCCCTAGAAGATTCTGAGCTGTTCCCACAAAGCTGCACAGTGCTATTTCATGGAAATAAATGGTCTGCATTTCCACAGCATGGCTTTTATTCGAGTTGAAATAAGTGAATTTATTTTTTCAAAATGTCCTTACGATGAAAACTTGGAAAGCAGAACCGTTATTCATTTAGCTAGAAGGAAGCCATCCGCTGCAGGAGGAAAAGGCTTGGTGGCGTGCGATGGGTTGGAATGAGCTTTAATGCTACCGTCTGAGTGTGGTCATGGTGACAGCAGGACCTTACATGTGATATTTATGCTGTTCATGACCATTTCAAAAGAGATCATTTCATTCCCAATTTACTTATATTTTATAAATAACCACTCAGTTATGTAAATAAATGTCTGGAACACTTTTTGGCTTTGATTTTATCTAGTAATCTGTTATAAGAAATGTAAGTAGTCGGGAAGCGAAGTGCTGCTAATGCCATTGTCTGTGTGTGTCAGTCTTGGACAGATCACTATTTGCAGTGGAATATGTCAGAATATCCAGGCGTGAAGACTCTCCGCTTTCCAGATGGCCAGATTTGGAAACCAGACATTCTTCTCTACAACAGGTATGCACATTGATTGGACAAAAGGAATATGATCCTATGCTTGCATATATGTCCAGTCAAGCACATCTGAATATGTTATAAGGATACATTATCCCTTATGTGATACCATTACTCCCAGTGAGGCTCTCCAAGCGGCTGGCCTTTGAGAAGCAGCTCTGTCCCCCTCTGCTGGTATGTTCTGTGTTTGCATTCAAGCTCAGGTTGTCCTAACTGGTGCCCAAGATGATCCTGTCCATGGTGTCATGCGTTATATGTGCGTAGCATTGTTTCTGTGCATAGTGGAGCATGAAGCATTCTTGCATAAGGCACTGCCTTTGCTGTCTGACTAGCAGCAGTTATAATCAACAGGAGAAGCTGCAGGCCCATGGGATGCACAACTGGATTTTACGGTTTAGACCTAGGTCGTCATTTGAGTTGTTTCTCATTGCAGAGGTGGCTGAGTTCATGAGGCCTGTAATCTCTCGCTGCTCGGGGAGAGGTGCTGCACAAGTCGTATGTCTGACCTAAGAAAAATAAACAGCAGTCATGTTATAATAATCTGTCTCCTCATTCACATTTTGTGAATAATTTTAGAAATGCAGATAGATTTTACTATTATAAGAGGAGGGTCTAGGTGCTAGAATAAAGAACACTAAATTTGAAATTAAGGAAGAAAATAGTGTAGTATTGAATGGGGTATTTACTCTTGATCAAGATTAACCTCCTTAGGAAACAGTTGGTCAGTAAGATTGCTAATGGTGGAAAGATTTCTGTAGAAGTCTGAGGCTGACATTGTTGGCACAGAGGTGATGCTAAATCACCCAGAGTGTCATCGTCTTACGGATGCTCATTACTGCATTGTTGGACAGTTAGCCTCACTTTTTTAAGGCAGTCATTATAAATTATACAGTATTTGTGGACACTGTCAGTATGCATAACATGAGGAATAAAAAGGACACAGAACTGTGTGCCCATAACTACTATAACAGATCTAAAAAGTGTGTAGGGATAAGGATCTGATTCATGGAGAAATGAACCCAGTTACTTTAAGGTTTTGTTTTATAAGCATAGCACTTGCCATGTGCTGGGCTTTGTTTTACATGTTTTTCAAATATTAGTTTGTTCAGTCCTTCTAACTGTATGAAATAGGTATTGTTACCATCCCAGGTTTACAAATGGGGAGACTGAAGTGGCAACAGTGGGGTATGTGCCCCAGGACCACTGCTAGTCAGCAATAGAGCTGAGACTATGTGGGTCCATAGGCCATGTTTTTAACCACTATGTCATCCTGACTCTCCAGTGATACATTTCCCAATGTTTTCCCCTTTTTTGTTCATTGTTTGTATAAGAGAGATTTGATAATAAAATTCAAGAAAATCTTAAAAAAAAACCTTCTCCTGAGGGCAGGAAAAATGGGATTCATTAGTAAATTAAGACAGTAAGACTTGCAGACCAGGTGTGCAGAGGGAAAGGATCTAAGGTAGAGACATTTCTAAAAGCTGTTAATCTTTTTTTTTGTTAAACCATGTAGCCAACTAATGGAACCTAGAGCATCACTTCTCTATTCCTAACTGTGATGGTCAGATTAATACAAAAGAAAGGCTCTTCTGATTCAAATATATTGTGATTGTCTCCCACTGTCCTTGATAGTTACTCAGTGATCCCCTTCAGCCAGCAGATGTTTTTGTCCTGTACCAGTTACTTTGAGAAGCCTGGACAATTTCATTTCTTGTATCCATTTTTAATGCTTTCTGTCTTTGTTGCTGGGGTCATATTTCCCTTGAATAACTTGGCTGGTTCCTAGAAGAAGATCCACTTCATATTTTCTGCCACTCTCTGCTTCTCAAATAAAGTTAAGAAAACTGAGTTTTGAAAACCATCCAAGGTCACCGTAAGTGACCCCTTGTTGAGTGTGTGAAACACATGAGCTTCTGCGCTGGGCTTTGGATCGTCTGTTTCCTGGGGAATGGGGAGGGACTGTGTTAGTTTGGTCTGACTGCTGTAAGGAAGGTCCACAAAGCAGTGGCTTAAACAATAGACATTTACTTCTTTATAATTCTGGAGGCCAGAAGTCTGAGATCCAGTTGTGGACAGAATTGATTACTTCTGATCTTCTTTGTCCTTTGTTTGAAAGGGTTTGCTTTCTCCTCCGTCTCCCTGTGCTCCTTGCTCTGTGTATGTCTGTGTCCTAATCTTTTCTTGTTGTAAGGGTGCTGGTCAGATTGGATTAGTGACCACCCATCTGGGTTACTTTTCTCTTGTTGCTGAGACAAAATCCCCAACGCCCAAAATGAAGGAAGGAAAGGTTTATTTAGCTTACGGTTTGTGGAGGTTGCAGCCCATATTCAGCTGGCACCAAGGCAGGGTGGCAGGGCACAGGGGCAACACTTCAGGGTGGCACAAAACAGCAAAAGCAACAAGAGCAAAAAGGGAGGAGCAGGCAGAAAGAGCAAGCTTCTTTCCCTCCCTTATATCGTATGCAAACTGTCCGCCCAGGGTGGGTGTAGCACTCACACCCATAATCTCAGCATTGGGCCATGGCTCAATCGTAAAATCTAGAAGCCTGCCCCATGACTGTGTGAGGCTTTGCGGGGACATCCAGACACAAACCATAACATACCCTAATGGTCTTGTTTTACTTTATCTCTTTAAAGGCCCTGTCTCCAAATACAGTTACATTCTGAAGTACTGGGACTTCATATTTCAACATACAAAGTTTGGGGAAAAAAACTTAAGACCGTAACAGGGACCTTACAGTTGAATATGTACAAACAAAGGATAAGGGTTGAACAAGTCTAGGTATAAAATTTAGTTATATTATAATATTTACTGTCTTTATAACTTCTGAGTCTCTGATTTGCAAAAGTGGAGAAATGCCAACTTCCTAAGACCTGGGAAGGAAATCTCTGCAAATGTATGTAGCATGCCGCGTGTGGTACCTGGCCGAAGATAATGATTTAGTAATGGCATGTGTCTGCTCTAGGCATGAGGACAAGGGTTTATGCTTGGGTTAAAGTGGTAATTTAATAATTTTAAGAGAAACAGTATGCTTCGTAATTCCCAATTCAGCTTAGTTCATCTGAAGTCTAGAATAAATTTTGTAATATGGTAGAATCTCAAAAAGGAAGCTCTGAGAGGTAAGTTTTATGGTTATATGTTAAGTCTATTAATTCCAAAACATAAAATGTTTCATGATCCCAACATTCTGGCTAATGAGGAGTTACTAAGTATTTTGTGTAATTACATTTCAGGCAGCAAAGACACAGCAGTCTGTAGCTGACTTATGATACCAGGCACTGAGGAAGAACGCCATGCTTTCCCCATGCCTGCCCCAACTGATGTCCCAGAACTGTGCTGCAACCTGATTCCCCACAGGTGCTACTCCCGTGACTGTTTACTTTCTTCTCCCCAAATGCCTGTTGACCACTATGCCTACCAGAGTCCCTCTTGGAGCCTGTAGTGGCTGCCATGGTATCTGCTTCAATCTTTCTGAGCAATGAGATAGGGGAATTCCCTTCTGAAGTGACTGCTGACTGTATGGCTTGCACACCCACATGAAGTCAGTGTAGCATAAACAGGTTGCAGAGATGTGTAAACCAGCCACAGATACCAGAACTGTGCAGACACAGACACAGAATCTATACCAGAGTTCACTAGGGAACAGATTGGATATAAGAATTAACAAATGTTTTAGTTACTTTTCTCATTGCTGAGACAAAATACCTGACACTCAAAGTTAAAGGAGAAAAGGTTTGTTCACCTCACACTTTTTTGAGGTTTCAGTCCTTCATTGCTGGCTCCAAGGCAGGGTGGCGTAGCAAACAGGCATCACAGAGGAGAAACAGTTCATGGTGGGCTGAAGGTAGCAAAGCAAGCAAGCCACCATAGCAGCTTCTTTCTTTCCCTTGTATATTCTATTTAGGCTACCTGCTTTCTGCCCTAAGGGCACGTAGCACGCACACCCAGAACTACGCCAAGTAATCAGTAGACTGGTACAGTAATCACACACCTTTAATCCCAGCATCACACACTTTAGATCCAGCCACCTCTGAAAAAACCATGCCTATGACCGCGAGAGGCGTTGGGGGAATACCTAGACAAAAGCTGTAACAACAAGGTAGGCTAACAGCAGCCACCTGCAGAGTCAGGGGTGGGAGAATGTGAAAGAGCCGCCTGCACAATGGAGAGCAAGAGGATCCGGTCAAAAGTCAAAGGCCTGGAGCTCCCTGCAGAGTCCTGTGTGAGTCCATAGCTGGGAACCGAAGGGTCTGAGCTTGGAAGGCTACAGTCTGTGATGGCGAAGATTGGAACTCCTCTGAAGAAGCAGATGTGAGATGTCCTTCTTCTTTCCCTTGTTATTCCATCCAGGCTATAACCCTATTGGTTGGTGCCACCCACATCCAGGGTGGGTCTCCCCTCTTCAATAAATCCATCGTCCAGACGCCCAGGAGTGTGCTAAACCAGTCAGGCATTTCTGTTAAGCTGACACAATTAAATACCAGGATCTATATTAGTTGTCTGTTACAAACTAGCCCAAAGTTAGTGACTTAAAAAAACAACTCCTATCAGTGCTCACAGTGCTGTGAGCTGAGTGTGCCCACGTGGCTGGCTGGCTGTTCCATGTGATGCCGTAGACCGCAGTTACGTGGGGCGGGAGTGCTCAGGGATGCGCTCCCACCGCAGGCGGGGCTGGCCGGCAGGGACGCTGGCCTGGAGTAGGCGCTTCGCCAGGGCTGAGAACTGAGTCACCTTGGCACCTCGGTTTTCTTCCTCTGTCCTTTTCTGCAGATGTGGGTGGTGCCCAGATTGGTGGCTGGGAGTGCTCCCGGAGGAAGGAAGAGTGGGCTGTCAGTCCTCTCAAGGAGTGAGCATGAAAGGCCAGGATCCCCATTCACCCCATTCTATTGGTCAGCTCTGGCAAGAACCTAACTCCAAGTCAAGGGAGGGGTTCTTAGCTCCAGCTCCATAGGACATGCAGGGAGGCGGGAGAGAAGGAAAGGAAGCTGGATGGCGAGGGGCGG